CACATAATGAAGGTATATTTGATAAGAGCGTTCTACATTCTATCCCTTGTTCCGAATCGCCACTTCAACCCGGCGAACTTCCTTTGTAACAAGCGGGAATAGGGAATTGTATGTGGAAGTGGGCACAAGGAAAGGTACAGGGACAGGGATGGGAGCCTTATCATAGCGTTTTGACAGGGCCGAACAGAGTTGGGTAAGCCAGCTATTTCGAATACGATATTAGTTTTAAAATTATTGATTTTTGTGCAAAGTTTGAGTTGTTGGGCTAGGAGCTGGCACAGGGGGTTAAGTGAGCGTGCTGACTACGAATACAATATTGGTTTTTTGTCATCTACTACTTTTATCGGTTTTATCGGTTTTTTGCAGAATTTTGAGCTATGGGGCTGGGAGTTGGCACAGGGGGTAGGTAGGCATGTTGATTAGAAAAACAAACAAAGCTTCTGGAGTATTGTAAATCCAGTTAGAGTATGATCTAAGTTACTCGTCGCATATTACACCATTTCGTTCACATTTTCTCAGAGCATAGTATTTTTTGTTGAATAACCTACACTTTGACCTCATATTTGAAACGATCTTTGAAAGCATAGATTTTGATGCGTCCACAAGAGATGCGAGGTTCCAGCACCCTCCTGCCTTTTGCATTCTCATCCTCCTATTGTTCCACACTTTGGATTCCACTAGTCAAAAACAGCTCTTTATGATGATACTAATTGGCAAACCCGGCTTCGCCCGGGCCTGTCAATAATATGTTTGTAATCAGCATGCTCGATTACCTCCCTGTGCAAACTCCCAGCCTTGTAGCTCAAATTTTGCAAAAAATCGATAAAATCGATACCGATCAATAACGAAAAGTAGCCTATGACACGCTCCCTGCCCCGAAGTACATGTGTGCCAAGTTTGGTCCAAATCGATTCAGAAATGAAAATTTCCATTCCGTACATACGTACAGACAGACATACATAAAGGATGTTCGTCGACGACAGCCCCGACTCGTGCAATCACACCATCGCGCGCATGCGCTTTGGAGCCATTCCAGCTTTACAGTATGCTGCAGCGCGCGGGGAACTTGCACCTCGCAGCATTCCTGTCCTATAACCTTCTTTGTTATTTATGCCCTTTCAATCCCTTTTCCTCTGATTTTCATTTCAGGAGGAATGGAAATATCGAATATCCTACAAGTCCTGTGTGTATATCATGCAACGCCGGGGTTTAGCTACTATCAAGCCTTCCCTGAAAAACTAGAATGGCTCTTTAACCGTTGTTTTCTAATTTTTTTTTTCAATTTCTAAGTGCAGGGTTCCAAAAGGTGGCGCTATCTAAGCATGGCCTACTTGGACCATCGACCACAGGTTGCCAACTTCCAGTTTGCCAGTGTTGACTTGCTGATCTCCAAATTTCATGAGAAAATTGCATTCGTTGTGTTTACGCATGTTCTTTGCATTCCTTGCTAGTAGCATCCTGTCAACAACGGCAACAATCGCAAACCTGGCACTAATTCTCGGCAACCTATAGCCGATCGTTTGCTGATATGTAAGTTTGTCGAATTCCATTCTGGTCAGGTGAATGCAACCCGAAATTTCCAATACCCAACATAATTTGATCTAAGAATGTTCCACAAAGACGGACGCGCATTCACTTGACCAGACTTAAAAGGTTCAACAAACACAACAGCACAGAACGAAACACGTAAGTTACCACTGGCCATGTTCAGAGGACGTCTTGCTACGATAAAAAGAACTTGTCAGAAAAAATAGCAAAAAGGAGTAAAGCGAAAAATCTCATTGATCAGGTGTTCCTTTGAGCTTGTGAGGGCAATCCGAGCGGCGTTGCGTGTGTGGCGCAAATACCCATGGATGGTGTCACGGACACATACTCTAGAACTTGTAGGATATATCCAACGGTTGAACAGGCATGAAAGGAATGAGGAATAGGTGCGAAAGGAAGGAGGAATAGGTGCGAAAGGAAGGAGGAATAGGTGCGAAAGGAAGGAGGAATAGGTGCGAAAGGAAGGAGGAATAGGTGCGAAAGGAAGGAGGAATAGGTGCCCAAGATGGATTTCATGAAGAAAAAGAAATGAGAAATGCTTAAATAACGAGGGAGGTTATAGGACATGGATGGTGCCAGCTGAAAATTCCCCGCGCGCTGCAGTGTACTGTAAAGCTGGAAAGGATCCAAGAACGCACTCGCGCAATGGTGTGATTACACCAATCGGGGCTGTCGTCGACAAACATCCTTTACATACAGACATTCAACTTTATATATAAGAAGATCAGAAAAAGCTACTATGCATGGAGTATGCCAGTTTTTAAAGAGAAAAAACATCTTCACATTTGTTTCAAATGACCACGCATGCATACCATTCATTTGAAATATAGAGACAAAACAAAGCCCCTCATCTCATCTTTATCGTGAACAAGCATGAGTAGTGAACAAAGGTTAACCCTTTCGGACCTGAGTTTTTCCGAATAAGCAGAGAAGCCTCACTCCCACTGTTCTATACTTACTACCACATAAATAATCTCATGACGGAGTTTGAATCCTTTTCAACCACATACACTATTTCTTTTTGATTTTCCAATTTTTTGGTTTTGCGTTTTTTTTGGATTTTCAAATCTCCCTCGATACATGTGGACCCGCGAATAATCAGCAGTTACACTTTCTCAACATTGTACTCGAACATTCTGATAATATTATGATTATTTTTTGGCTAATAAACGAGATCCTGAAACGGTGCTGAAAATGGCGCGAAGTATTGATTAGTTGCAATCCACTTGCATACAGAAATGTATATTTTGCAGATGGTAAAACAAATGAACGAGCGGTTTCAAAGCTACATTTGGAAGACAAAGGCTACATGAAGCGTTCTATAGCTATAAATAGTAAAATGGTATTCTTGCGCCAGTACAGCTTGTCTCTAAATTGATGGTGGCAATTGCCACCACCAGGTCCGAAAGGGTTAATAGGCCTTCAATAGGCAAACTAAAAGACGGTTTCGAAATTTTTCGACTGTTCAACTTCAGGGATTGGAAAGGGCCTGCTAGAAGCTTGCTGGTCAAGAGAAAATGTTTCACGAAACCGTACTTATCCATAAATGCAGAGAAAGATCTATTATCTGTAACCAGTTATAACTAACCATTATCTGTAAGCCCCGCAGCCTCAAATTTCATTCAATCAGTTGTGCAGCAAGCTTGGCAAGCGTTCGCGAAGAATTGTTCGGCATGCTCGTCCGCCGCGCTGGTAAGAATTCGCGCGCGACGTGCGCGGCGAAGCGTCGACCACGCGCGGTGTGACTCCTGACGTCGAGCCATAAATACCCTAATTTCACGCGTACAAGGCGCGGGGTGGTCCTAGCTTTCATCGAGTTGCTCAGCCGCTCCAACGTGTTTTAAAAAGCGATCCTTATGCCGCACGATTTGTCAGGCAAAACGCAGCACGGTATGGGGTTCCTTTGGTTGCGAAGTCCTTTGCCGTGTTCGGGCTGGTCGATGAAAGCTAGGACCACCCCGCGCCTTGTACGCGTGAAATTAGGGTAGTTGTTATCAATCTCGAGTGCGGCTTACAATCACAGTAATAAGATCTAGTCAGAGATTCATAGAGAATCAAAGAATTCATTCAGAAGTTGAGTTTTTCGAATATTTGAATGTCGAATATATTCGAAAACTGAAAATATCGAATATTCGACTTCCGAATTTTATTCGAAATCCTAGATTTTCAAATATTCGACTTTTCGAATCAGTCGCATTCGAATGATTTATTCGAATGATCGAATAATCATTCGGTTCGATCCCAAGTATAACGCACACACGCACGCACACAATAATATTAATTCGTACGCAAGGGCTCGTATGTACCCTCGATATCATCCCATATGTCTTCCCTCAACATGACGTGGATTACGTGGCTTGATGAGGCGCCGCCTCGCCTCGGGCTTGCGCCAAGTTGCGTGCGCATTTTCGGCGTGATGTGGCAACAAGAAGAACGTGGAAAAGCCTGCGCCACGTTGTGTTGAGCGCCACGTCGGGCCAAATGATGCGCTCGCAACGTGGCGCAAGCCCGAGGCGAGGCGGCGCCTCATCAAGCCACGTATCCACGTCATGTTAAGGGAAGACATATGGGATGATATCGAGGGTAGATCCTCCCTTGCCGCGAGAGAGCAACGCTCCCCAGTGATGAAAAGTCCGCAGCGGCGTTCGACCGCGACCCCTTCATGACAGGGGCGCTGCTCTCTTCGACGTAGGGATATGCATGCTGGACCTAGAAAAAACCCTTACTACAGTAACCGAGACGTCGACACACTAAGGTCCGTATGCACGTATCTCCGCTGGGGAGGGGAGGGGATCTGAGAGGGGATGCGTCATATCTCCCTACTCTACGTATCTTTATTCTTCTTTCTTTATTTTGATTATAAAAATTTTCATACACTTGTACCTGCGCATAATGGATGTAAGGTTGTTCCCATACAAGATTGGTTTTTGTCATTTTGTGTGATCCTCAGAGGATTCCCTGGGGATCGCCTCTCATTTTCAAAGTGATTTGTTTTCCTGAGAAGTCAATGAAAACGTTGTGAAATTGTACTGTGGATATAATACGGCAATGCTAAGCATGTTGACAGGAGAAATGATATCTAAAGATTGTGAATTTTTCGATGATCCCCAGCTCGCGAGATTACCGAAGATTTCTATATGCTGAGGTTTCACTTATTTCTACTATAAACATCTTTAACAGTGCCGTAGTATTTCCACAGTACTTTTGCAGCGTTTCATCGAGTTTTCAAGAAATAAATGGCATTGGAATTAAAAGGTAATCTAATCAATTATGCCAGTAACCTGGCATCAATTATGCGCAGGTATAAAGGTATGGGAACTTCATAAGCAAGATAGAGAAAGAAGAAGAAAGATACCCAGAGTAGCGAGATATGACGCATCGCCTCCCCTCCCAGTGGGAATGGACGTGCATATGGGGCCTAATTCTTCCGCCTCATTAAATCAAAAAAAAATCACTTGTTCCTCGGGATTATTCCCGTTGTCCTCGAAGTCAATTTCGTGTTCCTCATAGATAGGGTAAAGCTCTCGTCCCGGATTCATCTGTAAGATAATTTCAACCACGATCTCCATTACATCGAATATGATTGCACCTCCTCTGCCGCATGGTCGGGGTTGTCATTTCTTTCGTCAGCCATAATCACCAAATCTCTAAACAGTTTTGATTAGAAAAGAATTGATGCCACAACGGCTTTATTGGCGAATAGTGATAAAGAGCGACTCAGCTACTAGAACTTGCAAGAGTCTTGTTCTAAAGACTAGAGAAAGGAACCGGATAACAATGTCTGGCAGTTTGCCGCATCGGAAGTGAAATGCCTTGTTAAGGCTGCATTCATACTGATCCGGAAGTCCGGGAACAGTTCAAGTGCAGTGCTTGAAATGAGCGCTGTGCTGGATTTGTTCTCGGACTTCAGAATCAGTATGAACGCAGCTTAAGCACTGAGTCCCTAGCTTTTTGGAGAAGCAACGAAGGTCAGCAATAACAATCGTGCAGTCAATCTTTTGCCTTTCTACCTGCTTTGCCTATACCTACCGTTATTTCTTAGAAAAGTATAGGTTGAGAAATTGATTGCTGTAACTTTGCTCACTGGTTTACAGTCGAATTATTTCGAACATAGTATACAATGGGTCTAACGATGCCAGCGCCGCGTAGTGCAATCACACATCTATGCGCGAGCGTTACCGTAGGCGCAGCGTGCAGCATGGTCCCTGCACGCTGCAGCCCACGGTAGCGCTCGCGCAGGTGTGTGACTGCATGTGTGACTGCACTACGCGGCGCTGGCCCCGTCAAACGCATTGTATACAGTTCGAAGCCATCTCGTAGTTTTCACAGTAGGAATTTGAGCTTGATTCGTCTTTCTGCTCTGAGTAAAAGTTGGTAAAAGCACAGCCACTGAAGGCAAAAAAAATGGGACGAACGATATTGGCCTGCCCCACAGTTCTTGCACTGCGCTGGAACTGTGCGGGAACAGTTTCAGAACTGTGCTGCACGCGCTGCAGCCGCCCCGCACCGTTTTGAACGGCGGGAGTTGCAGAATTTTGACCGTTCTCAACGGTTTTTCTTCCGGATTTTCCTCATTTTGGCCTTATTCCTCCATCTCGCTTCCCACTTTGATCAGTAGAACTTCGAATTCGAAGCGATGTTGAAAAATGAGCGCTTTACTGCTCTAGGTATGCGATAAAACGTGTGTTCTTAAGTTCTTCCATTCTCTCTTCGTGATCTTTGCTCATAACTACTTCATTTGTTCCAGGAAGCCGCTGCGTAGTTTCCACAGCCACCTGTCTGGTTAGTGTATGCGATTAATTCTCAAAATGTAATCGGAAATTTTCTCCTATTTCCTGGTAAGTTTCGTTTTTGGGCATTCTCAGCCCCTTTCCTTTTTCCATATCGTTGCTTCTCCGTTCTTTCTTCTACCCCGCTTCTTCTTGTGATGAGAAAGCGAGGATTGAACGCTGTCCTCTTCATGTGTCCGGGAAGATGGACCTTCGTGCGCTAGTCCATTCTCTCTTCGCTATTTTTGTTCAGACCTACTTCATGTATTCTAGGAAGCGCTGCGTAGTTTCGCATCTGTATTGAAATTGGCATAGACAGGTCTCCAGAACACATGAAATAGGCCTGAACAGGGCAGAGAAGATGGACGAGCGCAAGAAGGTCCATCTCCCCGGACACATGAAGAGAACAGCGTTCAATCCTCAACCCCGCTTCAAGTTTGCAGCTTTCTCATCACAAGAGAAGCGACGATATGGAAAAAGGAAAGGGGCTGAGAATGCCCAAAAACAAAGCTTATCAGAAAATAGTAGAAAATTTCCAACTACATTTTCAGAAATAATCGCATACACTAACCAGACAGATGGCTGTGAAAACTACGCAGCGGCTTCCTAGAACAAATGAAGTAGTTTTAAGCAAAAATCACGAAAAGAGAATGGACAAACGCACGACAGCCCATCTTTCCGGATACATGAAGAGAACAGCGTTCAATCTTCAACCCCGCTTCAAGTTCGCAGCTTCTCTCATCACAAGGAGAAGTGGGATAGAAGAAAGAACGGAGAAGCAGTGATATGGAAAAAGGAAAAAGGCTGAGAACGCCCAAAAACGAAACTCATTGAAAATAAGAGACTAGTCCCAATTCATGCAATTTCAAAATTGCTCCTACTCTCTAATTTATGGCAGATGGCTATGGAAACTACGTAGCGGCTTCCTGGAACAAATGAAGTAATTTTGAGCAACACAGAGCAAAAAAGCGGTCATTCTTCAACCCCGCTTCGAGTTCGAAGTTCTGCTGATGAAAGTGGGAAGCGGGATGGAGGAATAAGGCCAAAATGAGAGAAAAATGAAAGAAAAACCGTCGAGAACGGTCAAAATTCTCCAACTCCCGCCGTTCAAAACGGTGCGGAGCGGCTGCAGCGCATGCGGCACAGTTCTGAAACTGTTTCCGCACAGTTCCAGCACAGTGCGAGAACTGTGCGGGAACAGTTTCAGAACATGAGAATCAGTATGAAACCAACCTTAAAGGCAGTACATCGGCAGAATGAGACCCGTGACAAAACAAGGTCACTGGGTAGGAGCCCCATGTGGAACCTATTGGCCAAAGTCCGATCTTTCTCTGCCACTTCTAACCCCCGAAACTTCAAAGCGAAAGCAGCGCTCATTTCCTGTCCTCTCCGAACCCGCCCACCCCATGGACAAGTGAACGCGAAGCCCGTCATGGCGAAGACGCAGAGTCGTTGCGGGACCTCATGCTTATAGCATTGCGGCTGGCGCTCTGATTCGGAGAGGACAGGAGATGAGCGCTGCTTTCGCTTCAAAATTTCGGAGGTTAGAAGTGGTAGAGAAAGGTCGGACTTTGGCCGATAGATGATAGATGGCCATATGGGGGCTCCTACCCTGTAACCTTGTTTTGTCACGGGTCCCATTCTGCCGATGTACTGCCTTTAAGCTTCAGAGGGTGTTAATACTGGCGCAGCAGCAGATTTCCATTACTTATCGCTACAGCTAGCTTCAGACAACCTTTGCCTTCCCAAAGGTGATTTACAAGCCCCATTCCATTCATGGTAGCAATGTATGAATCTTTGTGCGCAACAGAGTGACAAAAAATCGATAATGGTTGTCTGTCGTAGTATAAGCTGAAATATCAGTTATCTCCCTAGATAGTTGAAAATGTGGACTACGATGTTATGCGAGCACATCTGCTATGAGTTCGCGATTTCGTCTATGTTGGAAAGAATCAGAAAATTGACAGAAGGTTGGAAGAAAAAATTAGGAATAAAAACGTTTTGTTGTCGGAAAAGTTCCAAACTTCGCTGTGTTGTTATTCAAACGCTACCCTATCATAAACAGTAGGTAAGCAGTTCTCTTTCTAATTAGGAAAAAGTCAGGCCCTAAAGGGTGCCTTCATACCGCGCCGGCAGCCGCCGCTGGCAGCCCGTAGCAGCCGCCGTTGGCCGCTTTTGATCCGGAGCGAAATATCACCGTCTTACATTTTAAGTGCTTTTCGCTTTTCATCTTCCACGCTTTTTCTTCTGTTCCGCGAATGTGAGCTTGATTTCACACATTACATTCGATCCATTGTTCTGTTGCCGCGCATTGCGTCCTTCTATCGGTGCCTACGTTTCACTTTTGCAATCTTTCTTGTCTATATTTATATATTAGAGATAACGATTGCGAGCGATGTCAAAGTCAGAAGATTCTATCCACCCCGCGAATCAATATGGCAAACTTGCGAAATAGTAAAATGCAATTTAGATATGCATCGATCTCTAACAAGAAGATTGAAGCAAAAGCATATCAAAAAGTAAGCAAATTGCACACCTGCAAAAAATGGACGCATCCAAAGTCAGAGGGAATCACAAAGAGAAGAAACATCTGCGAACTATAGTTCAAAGGATGAACCATACGGCGTCAAAGTAATAAAATGGACACAAATATGATATTGAATCGAACTACACACTGGTGACAACAGAAGGAAAGGCGTGAAAAAAGAAAAGAGTACACCCAAAGGGTTAAAGGCCCAGGGGGTTATTTGACATGATAATTAATACTAGTTATGCTTGGTGCAGCCTTTATGTCATGCCTACGGAAGGCAGACGATAATGCTGGTGCGAGGGGGGAGGGGGGAGGAGTCGTATCCGGCGGTCATCTGGCACACTTCTTGCTCGACCCTGTATAATACCTTCCTGATTGCCACTTCGACCAAGTGACCTTTTTTTGAAGTGAAGTGCTAATCTCAAAAATACCTGTCAGCGGCTTCACAGACAAACTGAACGAGAGCCTGCCGGAGCTGTAGTTCTCACTGAGTGCAGGTTGCCGCCCATTTGCTTTTGGACTCTACAGTGAATAATTTGCTTGTAAATCGCACGGAAACCAATGTATGTGCTGGGAACCCTGCCCTACTAAAAGAGCTTGCACAATATTACCAATCATTCTTGGGATTATCCATCGGAAGCTAGGGCAGGATTTTTTGTGTTCTTCCTGCCGTTATGATGACACGAGTGGTAACACCAACCAAGCACAGCTATCACACTGGCCACGGAAAACCCCTGAGCGGCAACTCGAATAGAACGTCCCGGGCAAAATCATGCAGTCCGAGCCCCAGCCAAGTATATACTAGCAAGCTTCCTTGTAATGAAACTATACCAAAAGTCTGAATCAGCGAGATTGTTAACATCACAGTGCTACAAAAGTAGGAAAGAGGCAGAATTCAAAAATGAAAATGTTGGAAGTACGCCGAACAGGGCGCGACGCCGAGGTTTTGGCATGACGCTCAGTTTCGCGCAATGCGCAGGGATTCTTTCCAAGACCAGCCTTTACCGACGCCCTTCCAGTTCAGACTATTCCGTTAGTAAGAGCGCTTTTTTGAGACTTTTCTGTTTGATATTCTTTGCAAATGTTTGCTCGTTTCAGTTATAGGACATCATGTTTTTCTCTGTGCAGCATCTGTTGGATCGGGCGCCAAGTTTGCATTAGTTGGTGCTTGTGGCTGCGAGTACAGGTAATGACAAATACTTTGAAGCCTCTGCTTTCAGCAGAGCCGCTACAAGTGGCCTAGCAAGGAAACTGTCACGAGGAGCCATCCTTGGTATATCAGTGCCAAACATATAGTGAGCCATCATATATTGCATGGTTGGGTTGCATTTCCCT